GTGTGTGTGTGTGTGTGTGTGTGTGTGTGTGTGTGTGTGTGTGTGTGTGGTCGTGGTCGTGGTGCTTCCCACACACATGGCTGTAGCTGAAGTCCTCCCTCCTTCAGGGTGTTATTAGGTCGAGCTTAATGACGGCCTACTATGTTGTTGAACCCTCTTGTTAGCGGAGAGGTAAACGTCACAGCCAAGTGGTAATCGGACCATTTCCTTGGAAGTAATTTGGCACCACTTAAATTCAGATAATACTGCTATTTGTCAACAGGACAAGCATATAACTCAACAAATATGAAGAATAAGATTTGTACTAATAATGGATTGATGAATACGTATTTTCTTTGTGTTTGAATGAAGGGAATTCCTCCGGACTCCATCTTTATCTCTAGTTTCCTATAATAAGTGCCAAACTACATTTCTCAAGGGGCTTTAATTTAAATTATTAGGAAGTATTGGACAGTCTAAAGATATTTGTGGTGGCTCTTTCACTGATTCTGATTAATGAACTCAATGTATTTGTCAATTGAGAACGGACAACACTGAAAGTATCTCTGGGAAAGAAATTGAAGGGAAACCTCCATATTAAAACTAAATCACTGAATGGATGGTATTAGATTTTCCCAAAAGACAAATATTAGTCCAATAATAAGCTAAACCCTTCAGTGTTACAGGAAAACAGAAAGATCTTGAGTGACAGTGATGCATCTCTCAGATGTTGTATAACATGTATCCCCATCGCTTAGTTGTTCTAGTCTCACATTTACAAGGACTATAAAAGATATCCTCATGCTGCTACATATAGTAGTGCCGTGTTGTAGTATGAGCCGTTCATTTATGCTTCAGTAATGTTGCCGTAAAGTTATATTTCACCAAAACTGATAAAACGACCCAACTTACCTTTTAGTAAAACTTTCAGGAAGTAAAGACCCTATAAAGTGCCCCAACAGAACACTGTGTGTGCATGCATGCTTGCGTGTGTCCACAAAAAGCAGAAGTAAAACTTAGCGCTCCCTAAATTTTTCACATTTATTTGAAAAAAGATTCTTCTCACACAACACAGACGAACACTTGAACAGACAGATATGGCACATCGTCAGCAGGAATCAATGGCTGCACACACGAGTCAAGACTTCATACACACACACACACACACACATAAATAGGTGCCGAGTGAGTAATGAGACGCATGTTCTCCAGCCGGCGTGGTCTTTAGACTGTCCATAGAAAAGCTGTCAGTACCACAGACTGCAACACTGTAAACGCTGATGGAGGGAAGATGTCCCGAGGAGGAGCGGGTGGAGGCGGTCTCTAAAGGTCTGCTGGATCCGAAGCTTTGGCGTCAGTCTCTGGGCCTCCGGAGGGGGGCGGGGGTGTGCAGGTGTGGGCTAGCCAGTGCTCAGTGAGGGCATGGGGGGGATACGGGAGTCCGGACGCTCCTTCTGCATCACATTCCCATACGGATGCTCTGGATGATCTGAAATATGGCTGAGAGCACAAACCCCATAGACACAGAAACAAAAGTGTTTGAAACAGTGAATGTGCCACATAAACACATATTAACTAGCTTACTATCAATACAATCAGAAACAGGTGCATACCTGATCCACACACAACAAATACAAAGAGGGCAAGCAGCCAGGGCCCCACAGGATACTTCTCCTCTTGTGGTCGCTGAGGAGGAAAGAAAAACACACAAATATAACGTAAGCAGAGCTTAACATGAACTTTTAAAAAGTGGGTGTTGGCCTGGCATCAGCTTGGTTGCCACAACTGAAAATGTGTTTGCCATTTTTAGTTATATTTTGAGTAATTCAGATACTAGGCGTGTATATGTCAGTTTAATTATGAAACAGGAAACATCTTTCTTACAGTTACCTCACAAAATGATTTGTAGTTTCTGATACTTTACATGATTTGAATCTTTAAAGGTTATCAGCCAACGTGTCTGACTGTAATTCCTGGTTTGCAGCCTTCGAATCCAGCAAGTTAATGGCAACTAAAGGCCGATACAGTAATTGGTTGCCAACTTCTCCAAATAAATTGCGTCAATACATTTGCATTACTGCTATGACAGAAATGTGACAGATGCCTCAGAGCGAAAGTATACAACAAGTGGATAGATTCACAAAGAGGTTTCTTATTCACACCACTTGCTCAGATGTTGTCGTTGCACCCGCTTGTTGCTCGGGTTGCTCTTTCTCCTCAAACCTGCCACCGCAGATTATTATCTTGTTTTGCTCCGTTGCTCACCAACATGTCCACAATAACAACTCCGCGGTTGCACGGAAAACAAACTCAAGTATGTAATTACACACTGAAAAGGTGCTGAGCTCGTAGTATTTCTTTTATTTTTAAATTGTGGTTCATGTGGAAAAGATGAGTGGAACGGCATGAGTCGTCAAGTCGAGACAGTCTAGATTTAGGGAAACACATCGGATGATGTCATCTGTTTGGACATTTAACATGTTTGTCTGCTGTTGGTGAGGGAAGTTGTTAAAGTCGGTGATGATCTCGATGATGCTGCTGCGGTGAAGTGGAAAACAGAGCCTCAATATTTGACATTTAAGCTGCTGTTTGAACTATATTTAGTAACAGAGGACGGGGAGGATACAAATAAACTAGTTAGCAAATCGGTCATGTATGAAGAATTGCAACATGTTTCCCAAAACCTAAAGATATCCACTTTCCAAGTATGTAAAACAAATAGAACCAGCATTTGGTGAACTGGTTTGATGAATGAATTAAATGATTATCAAAATAGTTGATGACATTTTCTCTCAACTGACTAGTTGATAATTAAGAAATTTAAAATGCTTACTACTCTGGACACGTTCATATCACATTTACACAAACAGCAGCTAATAAATCCAAACTGTATGTCTCGGACATATGCCTGGTTATGATATAGATAAAAACTTGATTAATGAGTATTTTGTTCCATTACATGTATACAATTTTTAAAATAATTGTCCAGAGTGCCTGTTGTTTTGTATAAGCATCAGTCTAAAATAACAAAGGTACTCAATATGATATATAATGTAATATATTTCACATTTTAGTGGTTATTTTGTGGCATTTTTGCTTTAAAAAAATGATTAAAACAATACATTTTTGATCGATTAATCGCTTGACCTGGGTACATCTTTAAAAAGTGCTCCACACTAACATTCATCATATATTCAGTGCATCGAGCAGCAGCACTGGTCTCAGTTATTTCCCATCCTTCACACAGCCTGCTCATCTTTTCCCTCTCACTATTTTTACTCCAAACACAAGTAACGTCTTGCAGGAGGGGCGGTGACGAGCAGAGTCAATCAATTTCATTTTTAATGAGACAGCTCAGCTCGGTGGGTCACAATGAATCCTGCACATCTCGAGGAGCACGTTGCTGTATCACATATGTTTGCAGGAAACACTTTGACGACCAGCTGGCACCACTGGCACCACCACCACCATCACCACCACCACCATCATCATCCTCCTCATCATGCTGCTGTATGCACACCGGGGTGAACGTCACCTATCTGGGCTAATGTCATGCTGGCGTCTCGCTGTCAGCTCACCAGCGTCTTGGCCACGTTTCCTCTCTGCGTGATGTTCTTGCTGTGTTTCTCGTTGGCCATGCGGATCCTCTGCTTGGCCACCATCTTCCGGACCGATTAATTAAAAACCCGGGATAAAATTAATCTTGATTATTTTTTTTCCTGAAGCTGCGGGCTGTCGACAGCACCCCCCTGCATCAAGCTAGGAGACCTCTGACACGATATCACCGGAAACTTGATTCATTTCATTTCACAATAAGAGCATGGGATATTAGCGGTGCGGAGTTGGCGTTTCAAGAGGAAGCACGCGGAGGCATTTTGTATTTTTTTTGTAAACGGCAGCACGTGTGTTTGTAGTCGCTACAATTGTTGTCGAGTTTTCCAAATTTTCAAAACAAAGTATGCGTAAAGTGTTTTTTGAAACTTTTATTCTGAAGGTACTGACAGGAATTTACGGGCTTCATTTTGGTTAACTTCACGCGAGAAAGGGGTTCACTATGACATGTTTTACAAAGTAAACCAGCAGACAGCAAACACAACTGACTGTTGTCTGTAGGAGTATTTTAAAACGTTTTTTACATTTTACAAAAGAAACTAAGAGATGAAATGATATATATATATATATATATATATATATATATATATATATA